GGGGGGGTCCCGGGGGGCTCCGGGGGTCCCCAAAACCCCAGTGACCCCCCTCACCCCCAGGGTCACTCGAGTTTCATCACCCACCTGGACTGGTCCAAGGACGGGAGGTTCATCATGTCCAACTCGGGGGATTATGAGATCCTTTACTGTGAGTCTGGGGGCGCTTGGGGGGCTCCTCCTGGGGCTGATGGGACCCTTCTGATCCTGCCAGGACCTTCCTGAACCTTCCAGGACCTTCCTGAACCTTCCCAGACCTTCCTGGCCCTGTCAGGAGCTCTCTGACCCTTTCGGGGGGGGTTTCACTTCCCCCCAACCCCAAATTTTGGGGGAGGGGTTTCATTGCCCCTTCCCTGCATTTTGGGGGGGGTCTCACTTCCCTTCCCATTCCCAGATTTTGGGGGGGTTTCATTGCCCCTCCTCAAATTTTGGGGGAGGGGTTTCATGGCCCCTTTCCCTTCATTTTGGGAAATTTTCCCTTCCCATTCCCAGATTTTGGGGGGGGGGGTTTCACTTTCCCTTTCCGGGATTTCGGGTGGCTTTCACTGCCCTCCCCACCCCAAATTTTGGGGTGAAGCTCTCACAACCCCCAACCCCGAATTTTTTTTATTTTTTTTTGGGGGGGTCGGGGGTCTCTCCCCTCTCCAGGGGACGTCGCCGGGGGCTGCAAATTGCTCCGGAACCGCTTCGAGAGCCGGGACCGGGAATGGGCCTCGTACACCTGCGTGCTCGGCTTCCACGTCTTCGGTGGGTCTGGGGGCTGCTGGGGGGGGGGGATCTCGGGGATTTCGGGGTCCCCCTGACCCCTCCTCAATCCTCAATGCTCAGGGGTGTGGCCGGACGGCTCCGATGGCACCGACATCAATTCCCTGTGCCGCTCCCACCACGAGCGCGTGGTGGCCGTGGCCGACGATTTCTGCAAGGTTCACCTGTTCCAGTACCCCTGTGCCCGGCCCAAGGTGGGCGGGGGGCTCGGGGGGGGCGCTCTGGGGGTCTCGGGGAGGCTGAGGAGGGGCTCAGACCCTCAGGAGGGGTCTCAGCCCTCAGTTTGGGGAGTCAGAAGGGTCCAGACTCACAGGGGCGTCCTACAGGGGGGAGACCCAGGGAGGGTCTGGACCCCCAGGTTGGGTATTTTGGGGGTCCAGGAGCGTCCCAGACCCCACTTTGAGGGGTCAAGGGGGCTCCAGAGTGCCAGGCTGGGTGTTCTGGGGGGGTCCCAGACCCCAATTTTGGGAGGTCCTAGCGCCCCAATTTAGGGGAATCGGGGGGGATCTAGACCCCAATTTTGGGGGATTCCAGCAGCGAAATTTAGGGAGACTGGGGAGGGTCTAGGCCCCAATTTTGGGGGGTCCCAG